ATGTCATGTCATGTCATGCCATGTCATGTCATGTCATGTCATGTCATGGTATGTATGTATGTATGTATGTATGTATGTATGCATGCATGCATGTATATATTTATATACGTATGCATGCATGCATGCGGGCATCTACATACATGTTTTGTGGTTATGCTTACGTATGCATGTATGTAAGAAAGGATGTATGTATGTATGCATCTACGCATGCATGCATGAATGCATGTATGAGAGAGATTGATATATCTAGATATAGATACAGAGACAGCGGAAATTGTTTCTAGTTTTTGTGCTGTTGGGATGAGGTAATAGTACTTGTATGTGCCTGGATTGCTGGTGGAAAAACCGAATTCAACAAGAAGTGTGTCACTGGAGCCTAAACGTTGGTTTTCTATCTCGTTGGAGAGGTCTAGTGAATGCAAGACCACTGGCTTGGACTTGTGACAGTCGAGCCCGGTCGAAGCCTCTTCGCTCGCGGTGCCCTCATCGTTTTATCCAGCTCTGTCATCAGATCCTCTCAGATATGCCTCAATGCGGGGTCGCATACTCGCGCTGATCCCCTTGTACGCAGCAAAGTCGGGGCTAAGCCCGTTCACGCGGTCTGCCAGAGCAACGGCACAAACAGGCGATTCAGCAATACAAGGCAGGGGGTCAGTGTAGGAGCGAACGGTGAAAGCAATGTGCTGCGAATCTGGCAGGCGGCGAAGCGTCTGATACTCGACCCTCAAGTACATATCGGCAGGGCCCAGGCTGTCGTCAACAGACTCACCGGCTATGTGGGACAAGTCTCCCTTCAAGCTCGGATCGCCGCGTGCGGAGGGATGCAACAATTCCCCAGACCATCGGAACTCGAAGTTGGCTCGCCAGAAACTCTTGTCGGGTCCGAGTTTGGCAAAGATCCGATCCAGAGGTCTGCGCAGGCTCTTTGCATATCCAGGGACCGGAGAGTGTATATCGGCAAGGGGGGCACCAAGCTTGGTCAGCAGTTGGCCAAAGGAAAAGCAGACGCATGCAGAGCACATCGTAGCAGGAGTGTCGCCGTGCTGTCGCAACAGTACGAGGTCTTCCCTGACAAGCCGTGCTGCTGCCGTGATCAGAGGTCGGCTCTGAATGGGCTCCTGGACTGGTTGGCTGGCTGCCACTAAAGAGTACAGCTCCTCCTCAGCCGCTACTGTCGATGCTTGCCCATCGGAGACCCACAAGCTCTGACCGACCTGTGGATCATCAAGCACAGCCCGCTTCATCGCGATGACCTCGGCATCGTCCTCATCTTTGAGCAGCCACTGGCCGGGTTCCAGCACATTCAGACCGGGGCGCAATCGGCCGTCCGGGCTGTAAGCCGGCTGGCGCGAGCTCTCCTTCAGAAGCCAGCGAGCAGACGGCGGAACCGCTGCCCTTCGGCTGCCCACCTGGTGCGCCTGGCACCTCCCAAGTGCGAAACGAGCCCTTCCAGCACGCACCCCTGCCGCCGCCATTTGCCAGTTCGCACCCGCCCTTCCCGTCTCCCGCAGCGCCGCTTGAGCCTAGACACATTTCTGGACACTGTGATCCTAAACAATGTCTTCTAAAACTTAAAAAAACACCATGGGCGAAGCTAAACTTTACGTGCTCGTGTCGTTAAGTGCATGACATGAACTCGTCCGGGTCTCCCCACCTGCTTCGAGGGCTCTCGACCTTCAACTTCCCTGTCAACCTGCCACGTGCTTCTTGACACAAGCTTCTATCATGGAGACTTGGTTGACTTGGAACAGTCGTTGGTGTGAAAGCCGAATGCAAGAATGAGATGCTGACAGTTGAAGGCAGAGCACCCGAAGCTCACTCTGCTCCGCAATAAGGCCTCTTTGGGCTGCTCCTCCATCACAGCCTCCGACGCACGGAAACTCATCGTGAACAAAGTGGGCCGTACTGCATGGTGCTGCCCTACGAAGAGTTTCTTATAGCGGTTCCTATACAACGGAAATCTGACGCATGACTCTTCGGCTGGACCTGCCCGACATTCGCGATGAGCCTTGGACCAGCGGCCAGCGCGATGCTTACGTCCACTAGCTTGGACAAAGTCTTCAACATGCGGTACACATAGAAATTACGCTGTTGAGGTTGGGGATTTAGGGTTTAGGCGGCTCTGAGGATGGCTGTTGGCCCTTCCTTGGCCGCAGCCTCGCAGCCGGTGAGGACCAGACACTGCTTCCGGAGATGCTTCATGGATCTCGTAGAAGCCCTGACAGACAGACTTCCCAACGGAGGAGCTAGCAGGAACACTGGATCCCAGGAGCTATGCCATGTACCAAGAACGACAACGGCCATTGCAACGCTCTGAGTGATGAAGAGGGTGGAGGGGCTCTTACTTTCTTCTGCGAGAAACCACTCTCGTATCAGGTGCAGACTGCCACGGTCGTAGAAGCAACCTCGACCTCGGCCTTGGCCACCTAAAGAAACCTGCTGCAGCCATACAGCCCCAAAGCCCTCGACGTGCTTGCCTGCTCTTCTGGAGCCGGTGGCTCGTTGGGTGGGGGAAGGGGCGGCGGCACCTTGGCTTCGGAGGAACTCGAGAGACTTCTTCACAGCCCATCGCAGTTTCCCGCAAGCCCTGAACTTCTCTGACTCTCATGCTTGCAAAGTGAACGGTTCGCATCCACATCATCTGAATGCCACAGACTTATGGCTTATGACTCCTGCTGAGTCCGCTGCTATATCGTCTGAAGCTGTTACCGCCGCTACAGCTTCGGCAGCGTCGGCATGGTTGAATCTCGCGATGAAATCGTCTGCGACAGGGCGTCGTCTACAGTAAAGGAGCCCTCTGAGTCCGTAATAAAAAAGTTTGAACTCCCTGCTTGTAAAGTGCGGTAAATCCGTCACTGTCCGTGCAATGGAAGCTGCTGTCCCAGTACGACGAAGCTGAACACAAAGAAGAGTCAAAAATGGATTCTTAAAAACAAGCTCCTTGTCAACCTGCATCCAAACTTTACGCCTCTCTCTGGCCCTGCTTCCCTTGGCCTGGATCCGTGTGCTTTCGCGGTCTTTCGGAATCCGGATCCGGACCCGGAATGCCATCCATGTCGAAGGACACCTTTGGACACTTAGCAGGAGCAAGGGAAGCCTTGAAACTCGCAGTGAAGTCTTGCAACTTTGCGCACAATGCTCGTGGAGTCCTACAAGAAGCTTCACAAAGCCTGTCTGTCCGGCAGCTTCTGCGGCCGACTGATGTCCTCCGAAGGTGGAGGTTCATGCTCAAGGACCTACTCCACTCCTCAGTGCTGGTGCTTCGCCGTTGTTGATTTTGGCCAGTTCGGGGAAGCAGGTTGGAACAGACTACTGTATATACTCTCTTGATAAAAAAAAATGCTCGTCCTCTGGCACATGGCCTGATGCGGGCACGTGCACCACTCCCGGCCTAACCCCAATTGCCCAGCTGTTTGCCTCGGCATGTCTCGGGGCTGCCCTTCTGCTGGCAGCCGAGGATGATGCCTCGGAGAAAGCTTTAGCAACTAGCAGTAGCGCATCCTCAATCAAACAGCAATTAGGCCAGGAACCGGCGGAGCGTTCGTTGCGGTGGAAGCCGCTCTGTGCACGTTCCTCTCGCCTATGACCTGCATGACACTTGAGTTGAACTCGCTTCCGCATCCAGGCGTCTACCTGTGACTGTGCTTGTATGCGTAAGCAAAGGCATATGTGCATGTGCACCTGTCTCTTCGTGTGCGTCTCTGACATGCTGATAGTGCAAGGCGGGGCCTCATCTTCAGAAAACATCCCACCAGGGATATCTATTTCCACCACCTCAGTTTTCACGGGGACATCATGTAAGCGTCATCTGATGATTAAACGGATCGACAGACAGATAAATGGAGAGCTAGCTAGCTAGCTAGCTCGCCAGATACGTACATAGTTTCATAGACGCATACATACACACACACACACACGCACACACACACACACACACACACCGAGCAATGTTCTGCACCTGACTCTCCCGCTGCCGCCGTTCCCACAAGTAAGCGTCCGGCTGAGCGTGCTGGAGCTGAAGGTGACGAGTGCCTCCGAACCCAAAGGGAAATTCCAGGACATACGGCCCGCCAAACCGATGCGGAGTCCAGCATCTACGTCTAGGTCTCGGTAGGCAAAAGAGAGAGAATGGATACCTGCACAGCTTAGCAGCTTAGCACGTGAGATGACAGCATAAGACCCGGAACCCGAAGGAGCCAATTCTCCCGACTACAGTCAGATGCCTGACACTCTCCTCATCCTCGGGATCCAAGCGCGAGGGCAACGGAGCCCTTACATCCAACACTTGGAGAGTCTGTGGGGTATGCGGTGGGAGGTTTCGGGAGCTAGCAGGGTCAGGTTTCGGTGCGAGGCTTGAGGAGAAATTTCATCCGGTCCATTCTTGCCGAGGTAATCTCAAGGGCCCTCCTCGCTGCTGGGCACGTGGCGGGAGAGGTGCATCTGGCTCATCTGCAAACCTTGGTTGAAGAGGCTTTTGTCAGATGTTCAGCGGCCATAATCCAGAATCAAGACGGCAGGCGATCTCTGCACCTCCAGTGAGTTTCACTTCCTGAGGTCCCTGCGCCTGTCCAGTCATCCATCCCAGGATGCCAGTGTACCTCAAAGACAGCCCTGTTGAAGGAGACCCTCACTCTTTGTGGCTAGGACTAGGAATTCCTGTGGGGATTCACGCGGAGATCTCCTGACGGTGAAGCTTTGCATAAGCTTTGCATGTACGCCCTGGCTCCATGCGGCTTTCCAAAGCACTTCCACAGCCGATTGCCGTCCCAGCCGAACCACATAACCCGAAACCCTCAATCCCAAACCACCCTTTGCAGAACCTCGATTGTAACTGAGCAAAGCACCCGCTAGTCTTCGCGGCCGGAGCCGGTGCAGAGGGCGGCAAATCCGGCGGTTCTCGCGAGGGCCTTGGGAAATGTGGAGGATTTCTGCGAATCCAGAGATGAGCTATTCGCCAGCCATAACAATACTGTCCGAAAATCAAGAAGAAGTAATATAATGATAGGCCTTCTTTGCATGTTTTTTCCGTGATGTCGCCAGTAAAAGGGGAAAAGCATCTTGTCTGTTGATCAAAAGCCGCTGGGACGTGTGTAAAATCAGCTTAACCGCGCTCGAGAATCTTCGTGGAAACCGTCAATATGTATGAGGGGAAGCATATGGCTGTGGGTCAGGATCCGCCAGTACTGCGGCCCGCTCTCCTGAATGCCGCCAGCTCCGGGAAGAAAACATCGGCTCCTCGATGCTCCGTGCTTGATGATTAGTAATGAGGCTCAGGTGCGGAATCCACACGTACTTCTGGAAAAAGCAGCTGGACGCGTTCGGGAATGTGCATATACTTGACGGAGAGCAGTCCGGCCGCGCCCAATTCGTTTTTTTGCTATGCCCTCGTTCTTGCCTTCTGTCTTTCTGCCCTTGTGTCTTTCTTTCTCTCTACGCTGAACTTCTGTCCTTCTTTCTGACGTTAGCTCTTTGCTTATATGTTTATGTCTTTCGAAGTGGCGTTACTTGTTCTTCTTGCTAAAGTAGTTGCTTGTTCTTTCTTTCCGTCTTTCCTACTTTATTTCTTTATGGATTTCTTTCGTCTGCGCTGAATTGCTGTCCTTCTTTCTGTGCTTAGTGCTGTCGTTCACTATGTTGTGCTTTACTCCTATGCTTATTTCGTTATTTCGTGATTGCTTTCTGTTTGTCTTTTCGTTCTTTCTTTACATATTGTTTCATATTTCTATTTATGTCTTTAACTCGTCATTTATTCTTATGTCTGTCTTTCCTCTTTCTGTATTTAGCTATTTTTTCTGGCGTTAGGTATTTCGTTCTATCTTTCTTTCTGTACTTATTTATTTATTGCTTACTTCTTTCTTTATTTCTTTCTTTGTTGCTTTCTTTCCTTGCTTCATTCATTCTGTCTGTCTGTCCGTCTGTCTGTCAGTCTCTGTCTGTCTCTGTGTGTCTCGGTCTGTCTCTGTCTGTCTCTGCCTGTCTCTGTTTGTCTCTGTCTGTCTCTGTGCCTGCCTGCCTGCCTGCCTGGCTGCCTGTCTGTCTGTCTGTCTCGGTCTCTGTGCTGAATTGATGTCCTTCTGTCTGTGTTTATTTTTGTCGCTCTTTAACCTCTTCTTTGTTCCTGTCTTTCTGTATGTGGTTAGTTATTTCGTTCTTTCTTCATTTAGTTAGTTGTTTCTCTCGTTTAATAGTTTTTCTGTCGTTTGTCTTGCTTCATTATTTTATGTCTGTCATTTTGTATTTGTTTCGTTCGTTTGTTATGTCTTTCTTTCTTTCTTTCTTTCTGTCTTTCCTCCCCCCTGCCCGCTCTTGTGCTAGATTCGTGCTTTCCTCACATCCGCTTAGAAAAACGAGACAGGCTTTTTCATTGATGGGAGTTTTTATTTCTGAGTAAGTTTTTGTTGACCCCAATATTCAGAACAAAGACAAACAACTCTGAACCCAGCAGCTCGTGACTTGTACTTTCCTTGAGAACCCGCACACAACACACATACACGCTACTTGCCTGAGCATCTTGCATTCACACCCGTCTTGGACTCTAAGCTCTGAAACGTGCTATGACTTCCGAAACATCCCGTAGCACGTCCCTGAACAGTAGCTTCCTCAACATTCAAAACCCAAAGCCCCAAACTCTAAACCTCAAGTTGAAACGCGGTCACCGTTTTCCACGGTCCCAGCCCCGATAGCTGGGAGCCCCGGCTCAGACTCTTGGGGAAGGGAGCCCGCAGAGGCATCCGACTCCCTGGAGGGACAGCGCGGTCTTCCGTCGTTCTTCTCTGGCCTGTTGAAGGCCTTCAGTATCCCCTAGCCAGGGTTCAGCATGACCAAGCAGTTGTTCAGGTTAGAAGGCCAGTACTTCAACTTACCTTGAGCGTTTTGGCCTACGGGATGGCACAATGGCTGGCTTTGGTGCCCAAGTGTTGTGCTGAGACCGCCTCGACTCGGAATGGAAGCTCAGGGTGTGGCTGAGCTACATTGCTGGTTTCTGCGTTTCTCGGCTGCTGGCCAATTGTAGGTCACGGAATTTCAGCAACCCCGACCCACGTCCGCACCTCGAGTACTGGTGCCCCTTCGGAGCAGGCCTGAGCGAGGTGTCATAGAGTCAGATGCGGGCGATGGAAAGCAAGCTTGGTTCCAGCATAAGTCCCGAAATAACCAGGCGGCCATGCCCATAACAATGCTGGCGTTTAGAGCCAGGGCACACCGAAATCCCACCGAGCAACAGTGATTGACGGGTGTGCAAACTCTGAATTCAGCACGGAGGGCTTCCTCCCGGACTGCCTGATTGAACAACCCCGTGCCCCTGGTCGCTCCATCTGAGAAGCTCACGTACCCTGCAGCCAGCTCCTCGGCAGGGTCAGCTTAGCTTTGCTCATCCCAGACAGAAGCCGCACGGAAGCTGTCCAGGAAAGGCGTGTTGTCCTTCTCAGCAAATGTGACTAGCAATCGGTCTTCAATCACAGGTTCAAAGAATCCGGAACTTCAAATCAAAGACCTGAACATGAACGTACCTTAGGCTTGAAGTTCCACACCTCAAGTGGAACATGTACCTAACCCGCAACCCCGATCCTAGCATGCCTTCTACAGGTTACGCCTTGTGCTGTAAGTGATCCTTTAAACCTTGAACCTAAAGTAACCAAGCTTCAGCTTGCTTAATTGAAGCCTTAGGCCTTATGCAGAACCTCTTGCTGTACGTGAACCTCAAAGCCCCGAGCTCAAGCTTCAGGTCCGGGATCGAGCGCTGAAATCCGAACATGATTTCCATGCGATCAGGGTTCCGTTGGTGATGGTGATGGCGATGTACACTCTTATCGGTACCACCGAATACAAGGGTCGGAAGAATTAGGAATGATGGCTCCCTTGTGGCTTAATCCTCTTCGAAGTATTCAAGGCTGCCCCTTTGTCTTCAGGACACAGAAAATCGCACAAGAGGGCCAGGGCCCCGGCAGCCAACTCTTTGAGGCGCCCGAGGCGGGAGGCGACAGCACCTTTCAGAGGTTCAAGATACTGTAGCATAGGAAAGCAGGAGATCCAATGATCCGATTTTCAGATGCGAGGTTTCCCGCTTCCTTGGTTCGGGAGGATTCGGCGGTTTTTTCTTCCGGACCGTTGTGGACTTTGGGGTTGGAGTCATGCAGGGGACGTGGAAGGGAGAACGACGTCTTGAAAAGGTAAATGCCCAGGTTGGGCTTAAGGTCTCTGTCCTTGCTCCATGCATGCTGTGTCGATACAGCTATGTTCATCCTTTATGCGACGGTCCACTGTCCCTTCCCGTCGGCCTCCTCGTCGGCATCATCGTGGGCTTCGAACACCCATTCGACTGGCCTCGGTATACAGATTTGCCCTTGGCAGCAGGGCTTTCGACAGCCAGCAGCACGGGATGGGAGCTAGGAGTTCATGTTATCTGCAACCACCATGGACAGAACCCAGAATGTCTCGAAACGCTTGAACTCACTTTGAAAAAAACCTCCGTCCTCGAAAGAGGAATGCAGACAAATCGCAAGCATCCACGCGTGACACATCAGCGGTTGGGTCATTAACCCGCACACCCTGAATGCCCTCTGGCCTCTGGTAGGCATCCGGCACTTCGTCTGCGGGGGCATCCCGCAAATCGTCCGAATACATCCTGCAGGCAAGTGCAAGATGCTACTCTGACACGAAAGTATGGAACGAACACTGAATGAACGCCACAGACTTTGCATTTCACAGAGGCATATGCCACAAGAGGGAACAGTGATGGAGACCCGCACCGTCACTTCTCTGAAGCCCGATGTGCTAAGTGCGAGAAAGATTCACACCGTGCTGTCGAATGCTGTCGCAAATTCGCTTTACTTTGCACCCTTCCTAGATTGATGCGTACCCGGCTCCATGCATGTCGCCGACTTCCTTGCTTTCGATGTCACATGCTCGAGCGAGGACCCGGAGCCTCGTCTCGTTGCCGTCGCCACTTAGCCGCTGCCGAGCCGGAAGGGGCTGATGCCCCTGCAGCGACGAGGAATCGTAGGTCTCAGTTGGCTGGATTCCTCGGCCTGCCTCGACCTTCGTCAAGCCAATTCTTCACCGTTCAGCCACCCCAATGCTAAAGCTCAGCGTGTGAATGCTTACAGTGGGGCAGCTTGAGGTTAGGGATCCTGCCTCGTCTCGGCCCGTGGCAAGGAAAACTGTACTGGCACCCCTTTCGGGTTCTTGAGCCAATCACGCCGTGACATGAAAGCCGCGAAATCGACCGCCGAACAAGGCATTCATAAAGCCTATCTTGGTTATCCAGCATGCCCTTCGGAATAGGCAGAGTACTTGAAGCATAACTTGCCAAAGCTGTTGTCGGCATTGTCGTGTGTGCATTGAAGTTACGTCTGTCTTGCTGTGGCTATGCTTCCTGTCACAGTTGCCGACCAGAAGCGTTATTGCGCTGTTGCCATCCATCTCCCTGGGTTACAAGCCGTACCAAGTATGCAGTACAGGTTTGGGATGTTAAGCGTCTGTGCTTGTAGTTGCATGATGCATGAAAGATAGCGATGCATCTACATTGTGACATATATATATATACACAAAAATGTACAAAGGTATACACATACCCGACAGCTTATCTACATGTGTGTTCATAGGTCCGTACTCGCTTGATTCCACAAAAGTGTGTGGAGCAATTGGTATAACTTTCTAGGTGAATCAGTAAGATCTACCCTTCTCTACCACTAGATAGGTGATCTTAGTGATTAAGGCTTAAGCCCTTACTGCTGCAAATAGATACGCAAGCTTGATAGGCTCTTTAAAGCCGTTAGGTGCTTATTTATCTTTGCATAAACTACATGAAGCTCTCTGCAAGAGCAGCAGTTGTGCTTAGGCTTGGCGAATAGATGTCTGAAGGTCGTTACGACACGATAGCAGTCTATCTCGCTTGACAGAGTGGAGCCATTGGACGTTCTTGACAAACCAGCCTGTGAGAACCCATGCACGCTACGCAGGCTAGCACTTCGCCTTTTTGTGTTTTGGACTCTCGCCACGGTATCAATCCCCCAGTAAGGGCCTGGAGTGCGATTCAGTTGGTCTCGGACCTCAGTGCCACAGGCGTGCCAGGGTCCGAGCGTGCTGAACCTTTTAACTTCCACCAATGTATATGTCTGGATGGTACCTGAGCATGTACCAGGGAACTAACCGAAATTGCTGACGACACTCCGTATTCACACCATCTTGGCTCTTGCAGTTGGGCCAGGAACATTTGCATTCAACCATCCCCACTGCAGAGCAACATCAACAGTCGCACGGTTGCTCAGTACCATGGCCAAACTGACAGTTATAGCATTACTCGTAGGTGTATCGTGGCACATATCGCAATGCACCCGACCACGAGCCTACGGGTGTAAATGAACATGATAATGACGATACTGCTGAGCAGAAGAAGACGATGATAATGATGACGACGATGACGAATGTGATGATGATAATGAAGGTGACGAGATGATGCTGGCGGTGCCGGCGGCGGTGGAGGTGGGGGTGGTGGCACAACGGGGCAAGATGAAGACGATGATGATTGTGGTCGTGGCTTCATTGATGGTCTCACCATCGGAACAACAACAAGGAGAACAAGAAGAAGCAACAACAGCAGCAGCAACATCAACAAGAACAGCAAAAACAGCAACAATAACAAGAATAACAAAAACAGCAGCAGTACCGGAAGCAGCAGCAGGAGCAACAACAACAACAACAACAACAACAACAACAACAACAACAACAACAAAAACACCAACAACGGCGACGGGAAGAGCAAGAGCAAGAGTAACAGAAACAGCGGCAACAGCGACAAAGTCAGCATTTTAGCCGGCAGTCTTCATGTCATCGTCACTGCTGTAGCATGACGAGCGGCGCAGAAGCAACTTCTGCATGCAATCCCACAAACATAGCCAAATACACCTGGAACGGGAATCTCGCTTTCAGTCTTCGGGATGTGGGGCTTGCCGGGCTTCCACTGCACTTGCAAGGACGTACATAGGCAACAAAGCTTTCAAAGTGTGTCCTGTGCAGATTGCACTTATTGGGCTTTGAGCCATTGGGGGCTCCGTGTCATCAGAGTTAATTAAGGGCTTAAAGCTTAGTCTTTCGAAGCCCGCAGCAACTTACCAGTCCCATGCACACCACATTGTGTCAAGCCACAAGACTGCCGGACGACGCTTCCTTGTATTGGAACGATCCAATTTCAATGATGTTCTAAGATGGTAAAAAAAAAAAAAACCTTTCTTGTTCACGACCCTTCACACGTCAGACAGGCGCCTGAGCAGTCCAGCAAACAGCAGGCAGCAGGCGGAGATACCGAACCTCAACGTGAAGACTGATCTATGAACCCCTGAACCTTAGGGCCTTATAGGGGTTGGTCATTGGAGAATCCATTTCACTGCCGAAGTTCTTCTTACGGCTGCTGCAGCTGCTAGTCATGTGAAGCACACACGACACGACTCGTTGATGCACTGCATCGCGTCAAAACTACACTTGGGCAGCTCGCAGGAGCCACAAGACGGGCGCGGCCCAAAACATCACGTGAACTGCATCCGTTTCTAAGGGTCCTTCTGCGCAAGGGGAAACAAGTGCGCAAACGGCCGGTCATGCGTACGTTACAGCAGAACTTATGAACCTGGATCGGCAATCGCTGCGATCGCTGCATTCGCGTTCGTGCTCCCGTCCCTCATCTTCGTCTTTCTTGTCGTTATCGTCAGAATGTGGCTTCAGGCTGGGCTGAGCTTGGCCCGCCACACAAAGATGATCGGTGGCTTCCCCGGCGAGTCTTTGGCCGAGGATGCCTCAGCAGTAGCTCGATTTGGGGAGACACTCTGACGGATCTTCACAGCTACATGGTGTTGCAGCAGCAGCGTCAATCTTCTCACGAAGATCATGCGGCGCACGAGAAGCACTGGCACACGGCACACATGCACGTTCTTTTCTGCCGGAAATATTCCTGAAGCGTCCTGACAGCCGCCTCTTCCTCGGTTTGCAACAGAGGGGGGCCTTGTGCTTGCGCTTGGGCCAACTCTGCTACCTCGTGCCGATTCGAAACAACCCCATGTTTAGGACTAGCTTCCCAGGCTTCGGTGCGAGATGACCCTGTCGGCGCCATCGCGCTCTGTTCCTCTGCCTCTGCTGACCGGCAGCCAGGGCCGAAACAGAGACAGAAACGGCTTGCAATTGAGTACAGTGTAATCAATACAGTATGGGGCTCGCAGCGCCTCTTCGGCCTCAAAGGCGGCCAAGAAGGCGTCCACAAATGGGACTTCCCCGGCTTCAGCCAAAGAAGCCTCAAGGTTCGGCCAGGGAGGCCGGGCTCTGCACTGGCTGCAGGGTTAAGAGCCTTGTAGACCGCTCGAACCGCGAACGAATATTTCCAGAAAGACCTGCTCTTTTTCGCATGGCCTGGTATTGCAGGATCATTGTTCGGCTACGACCAGTACCAGACCCTTGCTAGCTGCGGTTGCTACACCAGTATGAAATCTTGTAGGTTACATCGCCATCGCTCTGACTGCGATGGTGTGATCATGATGACGATGATGATGGTGATGACGACGCTCGCGAAAGAGATGATGGTGATCAGGAAGGTGATGACGAAGAAGACGAGAATCATGATGGTCATGCTGAGAATGAGTGCAATGGTGACGGTGGAGAAGCCGCCGGGTGGTGGAGAGCGCAGTATGACTGTGACAATCAAGGACTATATGACTATGACTGGAAGCAGTGGAATGACTCGCGGGCCTCACATGCTTGCCGTGATTAAGACTGACATGACTGCGACTCAGAACATGAAACGAGTGCACTCTTGGCTGATCCACAAAGCACCTTCCCCTTCTTGTCTGAATCTGTTGGCATACCTAGTGAGATGGACAAAAGAAAAAGCCGACTGTTCGCCGCCCGCAGAAGCACTGTCAGGAGTACTAAAGTTGGTACTATCCTTGATGCAAGTAACATTCTTGGAAACCAGCACGTCGTTCTGAAGCCTGCCAGGAAAGTGCGCCCAAAGAACCCAACCAGAGCCATGGTTTCCGAAGCCCTCGCTCCACACTGTACACTCCAATGAGGAGAAGAGATAAGACGCATGTTTGCTCTGGTGCATCTGCAGTGTTATGTTGTTCGTTTCACAGCCGGGGAAAACTGTCACAGAACGTTCCATTATGGCGACGGCGGTTGCATCAGCGCTGCTTGCGTTGGTAGGAAGAGCAAGTGTGGCAGTCAGAGACAGAGCAGCTGCAGCAGCAGCAGCAGCAGACCCAGTGCAGAGAAGTGCACCAAGGAAAGAACAAGGATTCGAGAGACAATGATGGCAACTATGATGACTTACATAAGATCCTGCTAAAAGCAACGATGCTTAGATCCATAACTGGCAAGAGCGAGACTATCTGAATCGCAAGATTCCAGAGCAACAGTTATATTAACAAGCCAAAGCGCTAGTAGTAGAATGTGAACCGTCAACGATTCATGCACTACTAACAGGCCGTTTCTGCTGTGGCTGTTCTCTGCAATGAAGATGCAAGTGCGACACAAGGTGATTTCAGCACACATCAACATAGGAGAATTACCAAGACGAAGAAAGCAAGCAACCACCAAAAAAAATAACAACGCGTAGCACGAACAACAATGCCAACATGGAAGAACAACGAACCAGACGGGTGCTTTAGGAACTTCCAACGCAGGCAAAGAGCAAAGTCTGCACCGAGATAATGGTGACAATACAAATTTACGAGTCAATGAACGTAACAACAAGAGCATTTCTTACAGTTTGGCTTGCCTCGCACATGTACCATTTTGTCTAACTTTGTACTTGTACAATCAAATAGCGAAGATCTTCGTTGTGCTGTTACTCTTTCATAACCTCTCAAGCCCTAAAACTCCCTAACCGTGAAAACCCCTGGACCCTAAAGAGGGCCTGGCGACCCCTAAACCCTAAACCCTAAACCCAAAACCCAAAACCCCCGGACCCTAAAGAGGGCCTGGCGACCAGGGGCTCCAGGAGTAGGGCGAGGCGATGGCCGAGTCTCCGGGAGCCCTCGGCCGTGAAGTGTACGCCGTCCCTCTCCCAGAGCCCTCGAAGAAAAGGGGGTGCGAAAAGGGCTTAGTGTTTAGGGTTTAGGGTTTAGGGTTTAGGGATTTTTGAGGAGGGGTGATTTAAGTTTATAAGTGGGCGAAGAAACAGAGGATGAAAGGAGCCCAGATGCCCTCGGAGCGACTCTTGGGACCATAGGGCAGAAGGGCCACGGTGCTGACGAACAGCTCGGGCTTGACCAATCCCGTTGCAGACTCTTCGCGGATCCAGGCAGCCAGTGATGCGTTGACGGCCCGCCTCTTCACCACCACCTCTGGCCCCAACCTAGCCGTGCTCCTGCCTCCGGCATCCGGGATACCCAGTGCAACCGATGGAACACCGGCACGATGGCAGACAGAGTGCAAACCACGCAGAGATGAGAAGATCTCCTGGGCCGATGACTTCGCCAAGTCATTTGTACCCGCCATGAGGAGGACCAGGTCCACTGGTTTCGGTGAGCTTAGGAGTGGCAGCAGCCCAGAGCCCCAACGACTCCCCAAGGTCTCCAGAACAAGAGGCTCTTCTACCGCAGCCAGCATCTGCCAGGCGGTGGAGGCACACAAGCCGCAAACCGTCGCCTCGACCTGATATCCTGAGACACACAAATCTGAAAGCACGCAGAGGGACACACGCTGCTCGATTCAGGCCGTCAGATCGGTACATTGGCACATTGTACCGGCTGTATATAGTGGTAGGGCACGGCAGAAGACAAATTACTTCGACCTGCCACAAAACTGTGAAGTTCCTCCATGGCTCCCATGGACTGCAGAGAAACACAAAGAGCATCCCCAAAAGGTACCATTGAGGGAGCACCGGCAGTCAGAGAGTCTCCGTACAGAAGCAGCCGCAGACCTTCCAGCAACAGCAAATGAAATGGAAAAAAGCAGTCATTTTGATGCACTTCACTCTCTCTCTCTCAAGAGGGTCTCACTTTCTTCCCGCGATGCCTGCTCTGTGCGTCGTGGGAATGTGCACCAGTGCACTCTGTCTGTCCTTTGGAACTTGGCTTAGGACCCGCATTTTTCGAGCGCGCCCAGGCCCATGGCTCCGAAGGTCTCGGGGAGCTGTGCTCGGCTGGCGCGACACGCGGAAGTCTCGAGCCGGTGAGGCGATTGATGTCCGTGGCTCTCAGGATCCCAATCCCCAACCCAGAGACCCAGAGGTCTTCCTTGAAAAGCTCCGCCTTTCTGAGGCGTAAGCCGGCCCAGGAGCTTCCACCTCAAAGAGGTTTGGGGCTTCACTGGGAATGCGACGCTCCAACTGAATCAGGCTTCGCGAACCGGACCGAACCAAGGGAACTGACGCGTGCTACGTCGCGTGAGACGTGCCGCACGCTGTCCCGATTGCAACGAGCGAAAGAGTAGAATCGAAGACCACTCCACCCTGCCTCTACTCTGGGAAATATGGAGACATTCCCACGAGGATCATGGACCACCACAGCTTGCCTGTGCAAGACATTCTGCTGGGTGCGGCCTCCACAACCCACTACACAAAAAGCAGGCAAGCAGACCGAAAGCGGAAAGCTGAAGTTGCAGAGCTTCCAGGAGCACAAGCCTTAAGCCCTGACATCTCCTCGAAAGCGTCTAGGGCTCTGCATGAGAGCCTCAGGAAAACGTCGCCAAGGATCCAGGCGGTCGCTTCCTGCAACGATTGGGAGTTTCCTAACAGGAGGGACCGCAGGCCCTGGTGACCTCACGGAAGCCCCAACTAGTATCCCTGCTGCCGAATCCCGCAGTGCAGAATGCCCAGTTGGGACTCAGGTTCAGCTTGGTGGGCGGATTTTGGCTGATGTCACTCCCACTGGAAGGCTTATAGGGTTGAGGGTTCAGGGCTTGCAGGCGCAAAGATCCCGGGCAAAGGCCAGAAAGAAGGGCAGTGGATCCCAGCAGCGACGATTGGAAACCTTTGACTAGCAACAACCCTTGTCCCCAACGAGCTCCTCATTGCCCACACCCAGTCCAGTCTGACATGCCTTCGGCTCTGCAGTTTAGCTTTCAAATCTTAGCTCGGCTTCTCGCAGTGACAGGCGACAGGCTTGGGCAATCGGGCTGGGAGGGCTCTGCAACTCCGCTCAGCCCTAACACCAAAGCTTCGCAACGGGCATACTCAAGTATGCTGCTTCCCGTTTTCGCCCTGAGCCAGGCCTTTCGTCCTCCCTGGAAAAAGCCACTATCCTCGCAGGGAGCATCGGCACTTCAGAATCGGGGTCTGGAGGAGTATTCCGTGTTTACTTTGCTTTCGTTCTGCTAAGGTCAGTCTTACTCGTTCTGCGACTACTCCCATCAGCGTTCGTGTTTTCCCTATCACGACGGCGAGCACTGGTCAGCCGTACATGACATACGTCCTTCAAGAGGTCGGAGGTCTGTACTTCTTCGGCGATGCTTGAAGACTTGTAGGATTTCGTGTACCAGGTGATGACAGAAAAACTTTGCTGTGATCAGGGTCGGAAAGAGACCTTCTCGTGAGACGAATGTCTCCTCGCAGAAATAGCTAGGGCTCTTCGAAGGGAGTGGATATGTGAGAAGCTCTGCCGTACCAAGACCCACGCGGGGTCGGACATGAAGGTCTCGGCGGGATCAATTCCTGAATCGAGCATGTGTGGTACACAACTCGCTATCGAGCTATGCATGTGGAAATGGGGAGGGGGGAAGCAGAGAGAGAGAGAGAGACAGACAGAGAGACAAACCGAGAAGGGGAACAACCAAAGAGTTTCAACGAAGCTTCTTAACATGTCCTGCTCCAGTCAAGAGTGCTTGTAGAAATTCGAATAACCCGTCACGAGAAAACACGGAATGTATCCACCATGAAGTACCTATGCAATGACGTAGCATGATGAGCTTACTCGCCTTGCAGCTCAATGTAAATTCCCAGCCCTGAACCCTAAAGACATGACGATCAGACCCTCGTTTGGCCAGGCAAGCGTCGGAAGTGAAGGCCCCCGACATCGATTTGCAGAGGCTTCGTCTGTCATGCAAGATTTGCTCGATTTGAGATACTGGGTGCAGGGCCTTGGGATTTCGGCTTGGCAGTTGTCGGGTTCAAGGTTTAGTTGTGTGCAATTTTGCGGGCAGGCACTCCACAAACCTCGAAGTAATGGCTCGATCAGGAAGCAGGTAATGCTGAAACGCTGAGAACAAAATGCCGAAGGCCTCCATGGAACTGCCATGCACTGGTCACACGCACTCGAACGACCCAGGCCTGATCGATGATGTCACATGCACACAGCCTTGCAGGCGACTTTAGGGCTCGGTATTAGCTTCAGGATGGAACATGGCTGGAAGCCTCCCCATCCAACAATGGCGAGCCACAGACTCCTTCCGGCTCGGAGGTTGCAGACGAGGCCCCAACAGAGAACTGCGATACATCCCACAGCTGTCTCTCAGTCCTGAGCATATGTGAACATCTATCGAAAGGAGACATGGCATTCCTGGTTAGGGATACTGACATGAGAAACCCAACTGTGATCGAACATTGGACATGGCGACAATGCGAAACAATGTAGCAGTATCGGCTGGAAGGATCTTGACCTGTCTTCCAACCCATCTCCTGAGCAAAACTGTCTGCGGCATCCATGCCTGACACATGTCCAGGGTTCAGTGCTCTTAACCCCCCAATCCCAGATAGGATCGGCAAAGATGCGTTGGCCGAACATTGCGGCAGAGACCACTGCAAAATCGTCTTTGGGGATGACCTCAGTCTCAGACACAGTCAACGGAGCATCGTTCGGTGCTGGCTGATGGACTGATGCTGCAGGACCCTCGCCACATTTCGCTGTGCTCTCTACAATCCCAGTGTTCGGAAGGACATCTATCAACCAGCACAGCACCGCACAATAAACGAAGTACCGGTGTCTAGCAAGGCACTCACCTGCCAGGCCAGGCAGATGCTTGGCTTCGGCTACTGCCTAAAAGTCCAGCACTCCACGGGGCCTCACTGCTTCATTAAGGCAAACCTATCCTTTGGCCGTCGCAGGAGCACGCCTCTGTATGAAAATGGTCCATCAGCATAGCATCCAACGCGGAGTTCATGATGAAAGTCACTGCCGCCACCTGTCTCACTTCAAGCTGTGAAGTGTGAATGGCACGAGCTTCCACGGCTCAGATCCAAACGTGCATTCTATATGGCCTGTGCCAACACGAGCTCAAATGCCTCAAAAATCGCCCAAAACCCTGACAGCCTGAAGCAAGCCGTAGACAATGAGGCCGATGAACAAAACAATCCGCCGACCTAACCGAAGGAGTTGGGGGGTTGAGGGCTTTGGGTCTCGAGCAAGAGCGCACTTGAAGTTGGAGGCCAAAAGCCTGAAGGCCTGAGACATGCTGAGACCACTCAAGCACACTCTGATAGCCTTATGACGGGAAGCAAAGGGTCTCCTGGTGATCCAAACCCTGCTATCGTTGCAGTTCAAGCATCCTGGCCTAGACCCTAGAAGAGGCGCCTAACGTGCAGGCGTGAATTGTATGTGCCTGTTGGCGGGAGGTCGTCCATGCGATCAGCAGTTTCTTGCACTTGACGACGTCTGTTGAATTTAAGGATTTCGGTGTTCGGGGAAACTGGGCTGCTGGGATAATGAAAACGACCGAGCTGAGCAGATCGACGAATCGGCAGAATACTCCTAGGTTCACTTAAGTAGCCATGACTCTGAGAGTGCCACATGTTGGACCGCAGCGTTGCATGAGAACCTTCAAAAGATGCGAGGGCGCCAGACAGGATCGAACTGTTGCGGGCCATTCGCTTTCTGGACTCCAGACACCAGTCTCAGCGTTCGTTTGTCCTCACAGTAATGAACGATCGAAGAGCAGCAACCTCTTAATCCAAGCAGACGTGTCATTTTCCATTTATCCACAAGCATATGCATCCTCACTAAAAGAGCCTCTTATGCTGAGAAGGTTGGAAATGCTACATCCAGCTGAACCCTTCGAATTGGACGTGGGGCCTCCGAACAGAGAGGCAGCCGGAAGCGGCGCGGCTTGAAGAAGCGATTCCAATGCCTTTGCAAGCAGCGAAGTGTCTGCGGATCTGGAACGATGATTGCTGTCGAATAACAGTCCCATGAAAAAAATGCTAGCACAAGGTGCAGAAATCATACAGCGAAAAGCTCGAAACATTCGCACCAGGGTTGCTGCCGAACACTAGCGGCAGTTGTGCGCTGAAACCGTGGTTTTTGGTTTTAAAAAAAGTATTCGGAATTGTTTGGACCTACAGAAGCCTGCATTGCATCCCCTACTGCCACCTACGCCAGCATTGCGTTGGTTATCAGCTTCGGCCGTGATCATTTTTCGAGCACTGCTACCATGATGCTGCACTTGTGATCATGATTCGTCTGTAAGCCGGCACTATGCCGATTTTTCCAGCCGCGTCTACAGCTTCGGCAAACAGTGGCCTGACGTACCGCTCATTGAAGACGACTCCAAGCATGAGCGCGATGAGCATACCCGGCCTTGAGTGCACATCAAATCATTGTTAGACTTGCAATAATTCGGTCATTTCAGTTATCACGGTGGTTATGCATGCCACAATGGGGGCAATAGCAACAGCAGCAGCACTGAAGTGAGGACCGAGGACAGTGAGACTTCAATAATACCCGAAGCGAAGAGAGGCTCTAGTTAGGTAGGGGGGCTCTAGTTATGACTTTCTATCGCCTCACGGGCAACGCTAGATGTCAAGATTGCTGGATTGGCCCGCGAGGTCCCGGCAGGCATTTCTGGAGGAGCACAAACTGTGCCTGCCGATATAGCGCCGAGAACTTCCATGACTGGCACTGGCACCAGATCTCTGACCCTGCAAGCTAGCATTTGAACGACTCTTCACCAGCCTGTGCCATATTCAGGCCTCAGGGTGTCAAGGCGATGTTGTCGGCTGAAGGTCGTCATGATTGACTATTCTTGATCCACACCTGGAAGCTTCTTGACCTCGTTGTCTCCGTTTGTTTCGCACTGGCCTGTGCCTGACAGATGTTCTTGGCCTCAAGCTCAAAATGGCGCAGGTAACGCCGATCTCCACCAGCCACCAGCCTTTCAGACCATCACATAGGCTCCAGTCGGTCCTAGGACCTATCAGCTAACGGAGACACTTTGCACACAAGGCCTCTCTGCGTGTAGCCGAAAGGACGCCTGGCGAAGGGTGAAGCAGAGCTACGTGCCTTCACGGTCCCCCAACCTTGGACTAGCCCAACTGGAGCTCAGCACTGCACTGCACCGGAAGATGTGCGGCTCGACTTGCTGGAATGCCCGTCTGATGCGTGGCCGCTCCTTGGTGCCCGGAGAGCTCAGGCTTTGCATAACGGCGAGTGTTTCCGCGGCTGAACAACAAACAGAGTCCACGGCGGAAGCGAAATGCGCCAGACTATGCGGATAGGCCAGATTCAGATGCGGCGACACTGCTCAAAACACAAAGAACAAAGCAAGACGTGACTGACCTGGGCAGCTGTTTTCTGCACTCAACACATCAACCAGAATCAGAGCCCCTTGCTGACGACCTCCAGGCACGGGCCGAAGATGGCCGTGGATGCCTCCTGCTCCGATAACATGGGCAAAGGAGGATTAGGACTAGGAGGCTTACGGTGTAGGCTGACATAAACGAGATTGCGCTCTGACGATTGGGGATTGGTGAGCGGACGTGCAAACCAGGACACCGATCTTCTCAGTCCGAGTCTACTGCGGTAGTGAAGAGCACGATACCATAGTTCAACGCATACACAACAGTATTCACCCTACATACACCACCACCGGCGCAGCTGTGGCTGCTCCTCCGCCTCGTCGCTCTCCGCATCACCATCATCACCACTAGTAACTAGTAGCTTAGTATCCTCAGCCAGGCAGGAAGAGCCTACAGAATGCAGGAGTCGGAGGCCAAGGCCAAGCGGTTACAAGGTTTGAAAATCACAAGCTGCTGGGATGCTGGGATGCCTGCTCCTTCAACCTCAAGAAGCAGAAGCAGTCTGAATCTAGCACTTCTCGACGAGCGTGGGCAACAGCGCAAAGACATGAGAGCGCAGCTCTGCTGCTCAGAATCGCTGCGGAGCCCGGGCGGCGGGCTCGAAGGAAAAGCACAGCTCGCCACCGCCGAATCCGGTCTTCGCCAGGTTCTGCAAGAAGTCCTCACTGACGTTGCAATCGCTCTGTGTTACTGATGGCGCACCCAGTCGTGTTTCCTTCGACACACCATTAGAAAATTCAACTAGTGAAGTGATAGCAAGAACAGCAACCATGCAATACCCGTATCCTTCCTAAACCTTGCACAGTGATGAACAGAGAGTGACACAAATAGATGGAGAGAGAGAGATGGGAAGAGAGAGAGAGAGAGATATATATATATATATATGTATATGTATACATATATATATATATATGTATATATATGTATAGAAAAGAAAGCTGCACTCCAATGCCGAAAACATGCACCTCCTCAAGTCTCAGCCGCACCATCTCCAAACCGAAAACTTGCCCCCAAAACATCCACAGAAGCGGGCCTGGTGTGCATGAGAGATGCCTGGCAGCCCCAGGCCAAGAATCCCGTCGAAGGTGGTCAGCGAGATGTCCTGATTCGTGGACCCCGCGCACACTCTGATTCATGGTATCTGCTATTACAACACGTGTGGTGCAGACTTAAAAAAAATCTTCTGTAGCATCTCCTGTGTTGCAGATGCACGGGCAGTTTGGACTCAGTAGAGTACCCCGTGGTATCGTGTACATCTACAACATGTGTACATACATTACATGCTTATGTACATCAGGAATGTATATATTAATATACACACCCACGCATTGTGCACACATAGGTGCATACGCACATAGATACCTACATACATAAATACATACATACATACATACATACATTCGTTCATTCATTCGTTCCTTCATTCATACGCATGCAAAATCTCATAGCTTTATGTACCCATATGCAAGCATTGAGCCTTGTAACCATGTACATACGAAGACAGGTACATACGTAGAAAAGCAGTAGATTCAAACAGCGAGTGATACTTTGGCGACGTCTTGCCGTCGGCCTTGGGGCAAAGCATCTCTGGGTGCAGTTTCTCTCTGCCGGCAAACTTCGGCAGAAGATCTGCTGCACATGTCTCGACATAGCAGGGCCAAGAGTGCTTGCCAAAGAACCTTGATGTCATGCACCGCTGGGGGCTTCTGATTTTTATACCAAACCGCTCCGGCGTCCTTCACCTCCGAAGCCACCAGGAGCTCCTGCGCTCGGAAGGATCCCCGAAGCGTGTGGGAGAAGCACAGGTACAATGTCAGCCCTACATCTGTTCTCACGTTTCTCCCTGCCCAATAACCAAACCGGATCTGCCTGGCGAAGACACAAGTTGTCCGGGTCTGCCAGTAAGCAGACTCGGTCCGTGCCTCCGAAATTCGCAGTGGGGACAAAACACTGCTGCTGTGCACTCATTTGTCAGCTAAGCTAATGATATTGTCTGGATGCACTTGCCAAAACACGTAAAAGGAGACAATGAAAGACAGACCAACACAACGCGTCAGTGCAGGTTTTACTTGTCTGCCACACGCGTTCCATGAAATCAGCATCCATTGGTCTGTCGGCACACACTGGTTTCTCAGGCCCCGTCCAGTCGTGCCCTGGACGACACCCTGCCCGTATCTAATCTGCGTCTCCTGGACCAAGGCTGTCAGACCGATATTCGGGTAGAAAACTCATGTCGTCAAAGATTACACATGCAGAAAGCGCTGTGCCGCGTTACCGCTGGTACTGCAACATGGGTAGCTTCTTACGGATTCCCTCTCCGTGGCAGGGGCACAGCCAGAGTCGATCTCTGAGGGCGCAACAGAGTCATCGTCGGAAACCCTGGGCGGCACGCTGCATCGGACATGGAAGCTGAAATCGGAAATCCCAAACAAGTACGAGCATGAAAGCATTCAGAGATGTAGCTTCTGCTGGCGGGCTCCGTCCAAGACTTGTTTCTGGAAGGCAAAAGCCACGTAGCTAAGGAGAGAAGGCAACGTAAGAGTCCGAGCTGAGTGGCGCGCCAGGTTGAGGACTCATCCGGATCAAACACGTTTCTGCTGACCCAGAGGTCCTCCACGGTCAGATGTCTCAAAACTGCCCTGTAGGTTTACAGTACTAGGGTGGTTGCTTTTCAAGATCATGCTACTGGATACTGCTTGGGACTTGAAGCACGCCAGCAAGCCCGCTTGGCCCCTTGCCGAAGAGCCAGTGTCCAATCTTAGGCAAGCCGTCCATGGAGTTGCGGAAACTTTTCGAGGGAGACTGGCGATTTCCCATGTCCGGTCAATCACACTCGGTCACCCGCATCATCCGAAAGCTCCGTTCGGTCGGGGTGCCGATCCTAAGCGCTGGAAGGAAGCTCGTTGTAGTGCAGACTGTCTTATGAGGGGTGTTGCAAACGAGCTGGCGTCTGTGTGCCGAGGAGCCAGAGGTTTCCGATGTATTGCACATCGTTGAGGTCCTGTCAAGACACGCTGATGTCTGCTAATCGGGGCTTCACCAAAGCGCTCTGGCCGCGCTGCGGGTCCCGTCCTGAAGGGAGACCCGCTGCAGCTTGCTCGGGGCAGCCTCCAGACGTTTGGAAAAGGAAAACATCTATGGCAGTCTCGAGCTTCGGCCTTGATCTTCCGGTGCTGCGACGAAGGCAGCGGCCAAGGAACCCAGGGGATCGCAGGGTTCCATGGAAGGTCGACACTTCCTCCGAGAGCGAACCAACATTTTGAGCTCCCGAGCTGTCGGAAGGTGCAACTCTCAGGCTCGGAGAGATCAAACGGAAGCAAAAACAAACTGATGACGCTTGCGGATGGCAAAAATTGTCAAGACCACAGAGGGCGAGGTACCCGGCGGCGAAGTAAACTCCTCAAGGGCCACGAGTCGACTCCTGCACGGGCACTTCACTAACGCTTCTCGAAGAGCTTCAAAACACCCAACGGAATATCGGAATATCTACACGTTTCAAAGTGTATGCAATGTGCAGAAGACATGCTGTCTGTAGCAGGGTAGGCGCAAGTCGATGCATGGACGGGGGTTGGAGTAATCAATGCTCCAAGTTGCTCTTGTCACAGTGGAGCCGAAACGGGAATCTCAACTTCAGGTTCCGTTGAGGTTCCGTTGCAAGCTAACTCGCTGAGGCAACGAAGGGAACTGAGTTCTACACCTCACCGCCAACCATGAACGTCTTGGTTCACGCCCCAGGGCCTAAATCCTAAACCGCCATGAACCGCCATTGAACACTCAGCCGATCCTGGATCGCCTTCTTCGCTCACGCTGCAGGTGAATTCTGAGCAAAAGCGCATCACCTGCGCCATGTGCCTGCAAAATGAAAACAGATGTGCACCTTTGGAAGGACACCAACAGGTTTTCAAACATCAACACGTGTCCAAGCTGCAACACCGTGCATCGTCGCAGATCCTGCCATCACAGTGTCATTACAACACAGTGCGGAGAAGCCTCGGCGTGGATGCGCCACAGCTGTGAAAGCAGCAGCGATGCCGCAAGCGCAGAACGGCATGATGGGCCCATGCCACTGTAGCATTCTTGTGGTTGGGGTTTCAGGTGTCGCTGCACAAAATGCACAACTAAACGTACTTTCCGAATCATGTCTTGGCCGAGGTTGAAACTTGAGGTCCGACTTTAAAATTTCCAACCTGACACTACCTTCCCAGTCAATGGTCGGGGTCTTCTTCGATCAAGCTTTGCACAGCTGCATCAGAACATCACAAGAATAAACGTTGCCATAAAGATACAATTGATACAATCGAAGAACGGCTTTAAAACAGCAGTGAAAAACAGAAAGCAACCCATCCATAAGTTGGCATTACATGTCCACCACATGTCCTAGTTCGGTTTGGGCTTCCGTTTCCTACCGGGTTAAGCTAGAAGGGGCAAGACCTAAATAGCAGCAAGCGCGCGGTCAGCCCTCTTTTTTGTCGTAAACCTATTATTTTTCAAAATTAGTAAAAAAAGTTTTCCTTGTCTTTTTCATTTTTATTTTTCAGAATTATTTTTATTTTTCTTCTTCATTTTTATTTTTTGCCCAAAATTATTTTTATTTTCTTCTTCATTTTTATTTTTTGCCCAGAATTATTTTTATTTTTTGCCCAGAATTATTTTTATTTTTTGCCCAGAATTATTTTTATTTTTTGCCCAGAATTATTTTTTTATTTTTTCAATGAGACTAAGAAAAATATTTTTTCAATAAGTCAAAAAATAATTAAATATTTTTTCCTTGTTTAATTTAAGATTAAATTTTAATCCATAGTTAAACTATAGATATTGAAAAAATATTTTCTTGTTAAAATTTTGGCGTTAAGCCGAAAAATATTTTTGCGTTAAGCAGAGAAATAATTTTTAATTTCAAAATTAAATTTTAATCCATAGTTAAACTATAGATATTGAAAAAATAAATTTTGTCGTAAAATATTAAATTTTCCAGTATATATACCTAAAACTTTACAAAAAATAATTCTATAATTTTGAATTATTAATCTTGTTGAATTTTGTAAATATAAACTTATTATTTTATAATTATAAATATTGTCATCTTATTTAAAATACTGTATTGTCGTAAAATTTTATGGTAATTTTTTAATATTTACATATACTGGAATTTTTTAAGATATTCTTCATTCGTTTTCAATGATTTTTTATCATATATTTGTATTACTTTTTTGTATTCTAATTTTTTCATAACTTTATCAATTTCATTTGTTGAAATATCATTTTTAGTATCTCTTTTAAAATTATCTTTCAAAATATATGTCGCTACATTGTCTTTTTCATTATCTGTTTTATTAAAATCTTTAATAATATTATTTTCAAATGTTTCTTGAATTGTTAATTCTTGTTCTGGTGTTTCTTCTTTATTATCTACTTTTTTAATAAATCTGTATATTTCTACATCTGATTTAAAAATATCGTATCCTAATTTTTCCATTAAAGTACTTACTTTGTAAGTTGTGATTTTTTATTTGATAATTTCTTTTCTTCAGTATATTTATTAAATTCTTGTTTAATTTCTTTTGGTTTAATTGTATCGTTTTTATTTTTTGTTTTAATATATTTAGAATTAATAAAAATTATTAAATACTTCATCCATATTTTTAAATTTTGTTGGGTTTTTTAATTCTTCGCTTGGTGTTTCGCTTTCTGTTTCTGTTGTTGTTTCGGTTTCGGTTTCCGTTTCAGTTTCCGTTTCAGTTTCATCGCGTGAGATTTCCGCGATTTCTTCTTTAGGTTTTTCATCAATATCCGGTAAATTAAATTTATCAATTAATCTATTAAATATTTTTGTGTTTGACTAATTTCATCATCACTTCTTTTAATTAATCCACTCAATTTATTAATTTCAATATATAATATTTCTTTGTCATCATTATCTAATAAATTCCAGTTTTCCTTTTCAAATTCTTGTAGTTGTTTCAGTTTATTATTCAGTTCTTTCTTTTGTTCGTAGTGTTTCAATATTTCATTACGATATTTATTATAAATAATTTCCATTTTTATTAATAACATATGTTATTATTTCTTTAAGAAGTTTTTTTAACATATTATTAAATATTTTGTGGTGAGTTTCAAGTGACCACAAGACTATAAACCATAACCTTATTTAATTCTGTGGTGACGTGGTCAGTTGGCAGTTGAAATTTAGAAAGCTATAGTTTGAAGGTCGGGAGGAAGGAAACCCCTACCACCAAACTTAACTTTTTGGTCTCAAACCCACCACAACTCACCACACTCACCACGCCCTAACCTTATATAACTTATTAATTAAATAAGTATAATAATATGTTTTTTATAGTGTTTTTTATAGGTAGTTTATAGAAAAAAATGTTGTGGTGAGTTATGTGGTGGGTTGGCGGTGAGTTGTGGGTAGTTGAAAATATTGTTAAAATATTGTTAAAATATTGTTTAAAATGCCGGTAAAAATGAATAAATATAATAATTTGTATTATTATATTTATTATTTATTTGTGTTTTATGTTGTGTCTTCGTTAATGAAATCTTGGTGTAGTTATTGATTTAACCTGTTGTTTAATCCTCGTCAAATATTGTAGTTTCATTTTCATTAAAATAATCATAAAATTCTATTTCATAATCTTTCTTCAAAAACTCTATTGCTTGTTTAGGTTGTATTCTATATTCTGTTCCTGTCCTAACTGTTTCTTTAGATATTCCATTATTTTTATACCGTTTCATTTCAATACCGAATTTAGTTGAGCTCATTTCAAGTTTAGTTTTTGTTCTGTTTTATAGCTTTCAAATTTCTCAAAAAATGGTTTTCCCATTAATTAAATTTCATCTTTGTATATTAACTTTTGACTGTCATCAGTTTCATTATATAAATTTTTAATGTAGTATTCTAAAAATCTAATTAATGGAGGTATATTATTCTCTTTCAGTAATTTGTAACTAAAACTATATGGTCTGTTCGCTTCAAAATTATAATCTCTGTAATCAATACTCATAAAATACTCATAAAATGATTTAATAAGTTCTTTTGTTTTTAGTTCCTTTGCTACTTTACTAAAAAAAGTCAGAATCATTTCTATTACCTTCTCCTACTTCAATACAAAAAGTCGTCTGTCATCAGGCGGAACTTTAATAGGATTGTTATTATTTGATAAAAATATATAATGTAAGGCATCATTTTATACTATTGGATCGTGGCCTTTTCTTTCCATGTTTAAAGTTTTTCTCGTTATAGCATCCTTAATTTTTTCATTAATTTCGTATGTGTCTTTTCCTTGTGTTTCATTAAATACGCATAATATCTTATTTTCTATTAATTTATTGAATTTACCAAATACTTTATCAGTTTCACTTGTAATAATACAATATTCATTACCTAATAATAAACCTAAAAACTCTACGAAAAAATCTTTCCCTGTTCCTTGCTTACTTTGTAATATCATTGCCGTTCTTGTTTTATTCGTTGGGTCTTGTAATATATTAGCAATCCAGTTTAGCTAGATATTCTTCTTTTTGTTCATCATTACAACAAATATTATTTTTAAAATGTTGATACATAAAGGAATTTCTAAAATCATTATTATTATTTGGTGCTTTTGCTCCTTCAAATCCTCTAAATGTATTATAAATATAATCTGGTGTTGTGCCTTGTGGAACGAATTCTATTTTATCATATACTCTTGTATTTTCATCATCTAACCATTTTGCCAGAAACTTTTCTTTCGTTTTTTCGCCTGTTGCTTCGTTTAATACTTCGTATTTTAATTCGTTATATCTTACTTTTAAAGCTTTATCATTATGTATATTAAACTCATTAGTATTTTTATTAATTTCAATAAAACAAGGTGGATTATTTAACTTAAAATTATTTAATTCGAATTCTGTTTTAGCATCTTCATCATCATATATTTTATATTCTTTAATTTCATTCATTTCATCATCGCTATAATATTCATCCATTTTTTATTTATGAACTTAATTTTATATTCACTTTTAATTTTAAAGTATTTATTAATATATTCATTAAGATCATCTATAATATCCTGTTGTAATTCTCCTAATAGTTTCATTCCGTCGCCTTCAAAACTAATACCTATAAACACTTTCTTACTGTTTATAATATCATATTTTATAATATTTTTATCCACTAAATAATAAAACGATGTTAAAATAATATGAGATTCTATAGTATATAAAAATATTGCGTTTGTTGATGTGCTCGGATTAAAACCGTTTAATTTAATTAATTGCTTTTCAAAAATATTAATGAAATTTTCAGTATCTTTATATACTTTGGTATTCTTTTTGGTTCGTTTCTTATTTTCTTCTTTTAAGTCATTAATTTTTGTTTCTAAGTTTTTTATTTGGTTAAGTTTATCTGATATAATACCATTCTTTCAATTTCGTAAATTTCTGTTATCTTCTATAATATCTGTAATTATTTTTTGTTCGTCTTCAAAATTAATACTAAAATTTCTAATACTATCGTTGTCAGTATCTCTATAATTGTCAGATTGTCCTATTTGTTTTAACCAGCCATTATAAGTTCCACCGTTTAATAAACTAATAAATAATTTCTTTGCTTGTTCTTTACTTACATTAAAATAATTAATAACTTTTTTAAATATATTTTCTCTGTTGTTAATGTATTCTGTCAAATATTTAAAAAAACTTTTTTTAAAGGTTGTATATGGTTTAACTTTATTTAATATTCTAGTTGCTACTAATTCGCTTTCATATGATGCTTTGTGTTGTGCTCGTGCTACTTTGCTTTCTACATAATCTAATATTTCTGCTTTCTTGTTGTAAAGAAAATTATATAATATTGTAGGAATTGAACTTTTAATATCTAAATCAGTATGAGTAAAACTTTTATTGTCATCAATTCGTAAAATTGAATTTCTTAATTTTCTTTCTAAATATTGTAATCCGTTATTATCTTCTACTGATAACCTGCCATAATTATAATATTCATCTTTGCCTAATTTATATTCAAAAATACCACTTTTTCTAATAAATTTTTCATAATAATATTTCAGTTTATGTCTATT